AATTCAAAGAAATCTTACAGAGGGGTTGTGGCAATAGCCTGTTGCTAAGGAGCCGAGGGAAGCATTGATGTCTGGATCGATCACGTGGCTCAGAGCCCACCCTGCTTGTTCTCACACCCTGCAAAGCTTGGCGCAGGGGAACAAGTGCTCGGGGACAAAAAGAGCTAGAAGAGGAAGGGTCTGTATGGCTTCTTGCAGGCTGGACCCCACAGAAGTGTCTGCCTGGGCCCGGGGCAACAGTTCCAGGCCCTGAGAGTAGACAAAGGACAAGGCACCCCAAATGGCACGTGTAGTTAATTGCTGGACTCGGAACCCGGAGACGCAGAGGTGAGGCCTGGCAGTCAGGAGCAGCTCTACTCTGGGCCTTGGAAGGCACCGTGAGGTAGAATCAACTCACCAGCAACAAACAACTACCCAAGGTCAAAGGTCAAAGGCCAAGTGGTGATAGCAGGCAGCTGGCCAACTATCCCACTCCTGGGCACAATGGAATCTCATAAGCCAAGGCCAGATTTGTTGAGCCAATTCCAGGGCCTTCGGACCGTCGCCCCGCCGGTTTCCCAGGCTGTGACCCGCATGAGTGCTGATCACCACATCTTTCTCCCACATGCAGCACCCACCAGGGCTTGTCACCTTGCCTCCAGAGCCCTGCTGTTTACAAAGTGCACGAGAAGACAGAGCGGAGGGGGAGAGGTCTGTGGAGAAGGAGAAGCCAGGTTACTTGCCAAGCACTGTGGAAAGCTGCTGGTCTACACTCAGCAGCCTACCTACCAAACCTCAGAAGTTGTTCACGGTCAGCCTTCTGGAAGGCGCCCAGGTGAAGGAGTCGGAGGCAGAAGACCCAGTCAGCGGCGCGCTCACTGCACAGCTTCAGGGGTCTCTGCAGCACCCCAGTCACGGGTACACCAACATCAGCTTTATTTTGTTCCCCTCAGATTGACAGGGCTGAGCCTCAGGCTCCCATCACTTTGTAGGTGGGTCCTTCTGGAACCCAGCCAAGTCAGAAATGGAGGGGCCCCTCAAGACAGGACTCCTGTGCAAGAACAAGCCTGACTGGATAGCGCAGAACTTGGCGGGGACCACAGTTCCAGCAGAGAAGGGCAACCAGTCGACCACCCACAACCCCCGGGGCTCCTCTGAGCCTTCTTTCTCCTGTGTCCT